GTTTTTTTCACCGCTGCCACCATTATTAGTAAGTTTATCACACAAATGATCATCAGTACTATGTTCACTCCCTTGATCAGTTGGATTCAAGAGTTCTGGAGGCAACAAGAGTATTTCAGAACATAGTCTGGCTCCGGCATTAGGATGTAGAGTGGAGAAAGGAAAAATATTTTCATCAAATACCACATCCCTGGAAATATACACACGTCCTGTAGAGATATCAAGACATTTGAAACCCTTATGAAGATTACTATATCCGAGGAAAGCACATTGCTTGGATCTGAATTGAAGCTTGTGTTTATTATATGACCGAAGGTTAGGCCAACAGGCGCAACCAAAGATTCTAAGAGCTGGATAGTTGGTTTTTTCATGATATAATCTTTCAAGAGGAGTTTCAAAGTTGATAACTTTACTAGGTAGACGGTTGATCAAATATGTAGCCGCAATGAAGGCTTCATCCCAAAACTTTAGTGGCATACAAGCTTGGGCAAGAAGAGATAGACCAACCTCAACTATATGCCGGTGTTTATGTTCTGCTGAGCCATTTTGTTGATGGGCATAAGGACAAGAAACATGATGAGATATGCCAATTTTTGTGAAAAAGGAGTTGAGTTTTTCGTACTCACCTCCCCAGTCTGTTTGGAGAGCAAGAATTTTGCGATTTAATTGCCGTTCAACAAGGTTTTGAAAGTCATGAAATTTTTGGAAAACTTCAGACTTATGCTTAATGAGATAGATCCAGTTGAACTTGCTAAAATCATCTATGAAACTTACATAGAATTTCTTTCTTCCTACTGTTTCAACAGCAGGACCCCAAACATCAGAAAAGACAAGTTCTAAAGGAAACTTTGATTCACTTATTGATTTGGGATAAGGTAGCGGGTGACTTTTGCCCTTTTGGCAAGCGTCACATACAGACTCATTATTGAAAGAACTATCACATGGGAGGTTATTGTTGCTAACAATTTTTCTAACAATAATTGAAGAAGGATGACCTAAACGCTGATGCCATCTATCTGAAGACAGTTTGATGACACTTAGCACTTGCTTCTTGGCATTTCCCCCCACATGTTTGACAGGATAAAGACCTCGTTTACCCCTGCCTCGAAGTAGAACCTTCCTCGTTCCCTGTTCCTTGACAAGAAAAAATCGAGGATGAATTTCAACAAAGGTGTTGTTGTCGGTGGCAAGCCGACTAGATGAGATTAGACTTTTATTAGCTTCGGGAACATGAAGGATATTGTTTAGGTGGAGATCTCGATCAGGAGTGTGAATAGCTGAATAAGCAATGTGTTGGATAGCCATACCTGAACCGCTTGCAGTGTGAATCTGTTCGCCGCCGGTGTACCTGTCCCGCACCGTCAGCTTCTCCAGATCGCCGATGATGTGGTCGGTGGCGCCACTATCCAGGTACCAGATGGAGTCTACCTCGTACCGAGGGGTCACCATGTTGGCGGACTTCTCTTCTTCTCCCTGGTATGAATCGTCATAGCGCTTCCAGCATTTCCAGGCCGGGTGGCCTGGCTTGCCACAGATCTGGCACACCACCTTGTGGGTAGGAGCAGAGTTGTTGTAGTTGTCCCTGCCGCCTCCACCACGACCGTTTTGCTTGGTGTAGGGACGACCGCGATCACCACTAGAGTTGCCGCCGCCTTGTCTGTCACGGCCGCGATCACCACTGCCGAGACCGCGCCCATGTGTTGCCGCGTTCTCTGGGGACTGCGATCCCCCATGGCGGAGGTTCATCCATGTCTCGAAGCTGACTAGCTGCGAGTATAGCTTCGGCACGGTGACCGGCTCCACAAGGGAGCACATGGATGAGACCACCGGGTCAAAGTCTTCTTCAAGCCCGGCCAGGATGTGGGAGACGACGTCCTCCTCATCCACCCTTTTACCTGCTGCGACAAGTTCGTCACAGAGGGTTCGGATCTTGCCGACGTAGTCGGTGATGGAGCTGTTTCCCTTCTGGAGATTGGCGAGGGCGATCCGGACATTCACAGTCGCGGCACGGGTCTGGGAGGACAACATCCCCTGAACCGTGTTCCATAGCTCTGCCGAAGTGTGGCAGGTGGCGACCTGAATTGCCATCTCATGGGGCAGCGTTGTTAGAAGATATGAAAAAACTTGCTGATCTTGAGCATACCAGGTTTGGAACTCCGGATTGGGGGTTTTCTTCTTGGTTTTCCCGTCAGAGTCCGTGACCTCCAGCTCCATGGGCAGCACCGGGTGATCGACGTTGAGGTACTTCTGCATCTGAGCACCTCGGATGGTGGACAGAACTGTCGCCCGCCATAGCGCCTGATTGCCCTTGGTGAGCTTCTCCGAGACGACGTGAGCGAATGGAGAGGATGGGAAGGTACTTGAAGAGGTTGCCATGGATGAGCTCGAGAGGGGCTCTGATTACCATGTAAAACTAGATGGTTTGCGGTAAGCGTATGCAATCGTTGCAGGGACGCATGCGTGTTTATATAGCACAACGAGTACATGATCGGTAGGTTGTTGGAGTCTTGACCCATCCTCCAAGCTATACAAGAGATAGAGTCAAATCTACTAACAACCTAGCTAGTTTACAAGATACACACGCACACAATACACGCATACAATAACGTGACGCATATGTCACGTCTATACACACAAGCCTATCATTTAACATGGTTGTTGAGCTAGTCTCATTCTTATCCACGGCAAGATAGGATTGGCAAGTTGTGTT